GGTCAGCCATCAAACGCACATTCTACGCCGCATCTCTTTTTCTCACTGGCCGAACATTTTCGATCCCTGTATCTACGATTAAACGACGAAATTCTATGGACTCTACTTCAAACTGTATCTACAAGTTCACCTGCAGCTACAGTGACACCTATATAGGTAGAACCAACAGAATGTTCCAATGTCGTCGAAAAGAACATGTTCCAAAATGGCTACTAAATCATATAGAAAATCCCAACGCGATTAATCTGAATAGAAATCCATCATCATCTATTGCAAAACACTTATTAATTTCAGGTCACAAAATCAATATTAATGACTGTTTCACAATTATTTCATCACATAACTCTAATTCAAGATTATTGAAGGTGATGGAAGCACTTTGGATTAATCACATACAGCCTAAACTGTGTGTACAAAAAACAATAGACTTCAATCTTTGCCTACCAGATGGACTACTTGATCTATTTAAATATGATTAGTCATTAGTATGCACTTTTGTGTTTTTTATTTAACTGAGTAATTGTCATGCACTTTATTTTATTTTATATTGTTAACCATGTTAGTTGTAAAGCGGTTGTAAAGAAACTACGAAATGAAGCAATCATCTCGCGAAATTTGTCTTCTAAATGCCTTATTCAAATTTATCAAAGGGACTAATTGTTTTAATAAAAAAAAAAATAAAACTATCCTTTAGTGTATTCAAACTAAACACCCTAAACGAGTGAGAAAAGCCATCATTCACAAAATAGACAATATTAACTATGAACAAAGTAACATCGAATCAATTCTGTTAAGCCATTTTCATCAAGGCTGGCTGGCACTGTATAGCTTACTTCATGTTGTCATCAGTTTACTGAAAACGCCATAGATCTACCAGCCTCAGTTTATAGTCTGACTAAAAGTCGAGTATTTTTTTTGTAAGGGAATAAACGATATCCAAAGATTTTAGATTTACTCAAGTTTCTTTCTCATGCGATTTCCATCCAAAACACACTACTACTCAACATGGCCTACTATACTAGCCCCAAAAATACGCCCAGAAGTTAGGGAAGGTTAAGCATGAGACTAGCCACCCATCCTTACTACTGAAACTTTCAAAGTTGAAGTCTCTCGTTCTGTTCAGAACTCAAGCGATACAAAAGAATCTTTAGATATTACCGGCTTTCATGAAAAATTCCCATTCGAACAAGTAGTTCAGCGAAGAGTCTCTTTTCGGCGAATTCATTTTCATAGCTGTACAATCGCAGCTATATATATGGTTGTTTTCTATGTGTGTGTACATTAAATTTGTCAAACGAAATTACAATTATTAAGTTTAGGTGAATTGGATGTTGATATAAGAGAGTAGTAACAAAAGTGATCAGTTGTCAGAAACGATTGTTAAAGAAGAGTTGCGTAATAACATGAATAGTTTAATGAAAGAGTTGTACTCAGGCTGTATATGGAAACAAATTAGCATACGGAATTACGTAAGAGCATTAAGTAGTTAGAAAAATAAGCAAACTAGCAAAAGTTAAGTCAAATCAACAGAGTTGTTATCATGGTATTTTTGAAGCGGTTGTATAATTTTCTTTTGTATGCACAGTTCTGGTTCCTCTAGCTTAATGGCTACGGCTTCTGCGATGCAAAGAAGACGGAATCGTACTGTCTTTGGAAGGTTGTTCTTCACTTTGTAGATTACTTTGAAGGAGGCATTTGTTGAGATGAAATGACCAGTGTTGACGAGGTGTTCGATTATTGCACTCCTTATACAGCCATTACTTCCTTTCTGAAGCCACGCTGGATAGTGTTCTTTGACCCTTTTTGACAGGATACGCGTTGAACGACCGATGTACCTGGCTCCACAGCAACAGGTGGACTGATATATACACACAGAAGTGGTCAGGTGTGGGATCTTGTCTTTTGGTCTTCTGTAGATCAGCGGGCGACTGTGCATACAAAAGAAAATTATTCAACCACTTCTACTCCCGTAGTAACAACTCTGTTGATTTGACTTAACTTTTCTTTGTTTGTTTGTTTGATTTGACGTAACTTTTGTTTGTATGCTTATTTTTCTACTTAAAATCCTTGCGTAATTCCGCATGTTATTTTGTTTCCATGTACACTCTGAGTACAACTCTTTCATTAAACTATTCATGTTATTACGCAACTCTTCTTTAACAATCGTTTCTGACAACTGATCACTTTTGTTACTACTCTCTTATATCAACATCCAATTCACCTAAACTTAATAATTGTAATTTCGTTTGACAAATTTAATGTACACACACATAGAAAACAACCATATATATAGCTGCGATTGTACAGCTATGAAAATGAATTCGCCGAAAAGAGACTCTTCGCTGAACTACTTGTCTTCTGTCTATTACCGGCTTTCCCAGATCAATGATATCTACACTTCTTTGAGATGTTCATGTTGACGCTGAGGTTATATGAAAATGTTCCTACATATCTGAAACTCTTTGGAAACGATCAAAGCGTTATACTAACATATACTACCTCTCCCGCCCATTTCAGTAGTATATCAGACACTAAGTACTATAACTTCGCAATATACTTACTTGTAGATAAACAAGTACATAAAGTAATTGAATGAACAAAACAACAATATTGATTTAAATGTTGAAATAATACGTTGTCATAGTTACACGATTTATTTACAATAGAATACAATAAAACAAATGGAAAAAAGAACAGATATGTAAATAAAGTAGAGGAGAAAAAACTGGAATCAATGATTTAAATGTATTCACAATTGTACACGAAATTAGATAGACACACCCAATTTTTAAAAAAATCAATAGATTTTTGTATACACCTTGAGAAAATTTTTGAATTATTTAATTATGCAAATGAATTGAACACATAAAATATGAAAGCAAACGAAGAAGGGTGTTGATTGTAAATTGTTACAAATTCAATTAGAGAAAAAATGTTAGATTGAAAGATTTATAGAGAATTGATTGATTTCATGGTATTTCTCAGCAAGAGTTGAAGTCAACTAGAGACCCTCCACTCTTCCAAAAGGTATTATGACGTCCACAATCACTGAGTCTGGTGATTGGCACGTTGTCATGCAGGAATGCTTTTTCACATTTTCATTTCACATTGTTGGAGAGCTTCAAACTAAGTGATTCTTGTGAATGCGTAAACTAAAGAGAGAGACCAGAGATTCGAATCCTACCAATAATAATAATAATCTACTTTATTCCAAAACAGACAGTACTTATAATACAGAATGGAATTCTCAGCATTTGTCACAACATTGCATCTGATTTACTCAAAATATAAATAAAATTAAAAATTAAAACAAAATTAACCAGAGGAATTTGTCCACATTTACGATATAAAGTCAAAAATATTCGAAGTACGAATTGAGAATAATAAATATAATAATAATAATAACAGTGAGTTTGTTTCAAACAGTATTGTCGATTCAGTTTGGAAATTTTAGCATGTTCTGTTGATATAGCAGTATGGTGAGGGGAAATACAAAATTAACAGTTATAACACAGCTTAAATGATGTTTACACTTTTGAGAAAATAAACCAAAAATTGAGAGGATTATAAATATAAGAGGAACAATAACAATAAAGTTTGATGTTGTAAAGGTGGAGGAAATGGTTTATTTAATAGTGTAAAGAAGGTTAGTTAGTTCATGCCTAACACTATTTTCATCACATAAAGTACGTGCCATCAAATATGGTATAGTGGAATTTTTATACTTAGACGTACGTGCATAAAGTCTTCTGAAAAGACTTCTTGTTTTACCTGAGGAGAAACAAGGTTGGAGCTGCAGGTGCTCAGGTGGATGCTCACAGTCTGACAAAATTCCTTTAGCAAATTTGTTGCATGAAATCAAGTACCTATCAATGACAATGTCAACGATATGGCCTAATGGGATACCACTCGCCTTACTGACAGTCAGTCATCAGAGTTCTACGACATAGTATGACATAGTCTTTTTTAAGCAATCCAGGAAAGAATAAACAAGGGTGAACAGTAAAGAAGAATAGGTAAGATGCACGAGTTGACAAACTGTAAGAGGAGGACGGGTTGGTTGGGTTATGCCTGAGTGCCTTAACTTCTTAATGTGAAAAGTCAGATATGGGAAGACCAGGATAGGTCAGAAGAAAGAATTAATCCAAGATACTTAATTAACTTCAGACTTGATTTCTATATCATCAATATCATCAATTTTGCAACGGTCATAGGAACCAACAGCTTCATCATTTAACTTTGGGTAATGAAAACTATATATGCAAATGCATAGACGTTGAGAATTATGGTTTGATTAGCTGGTTCGGCTGTCCGATCACCCAGTAACCACCAGTGCTTATGTGAAAGTCACATAAGCGTAGGTATTTCAGCAAGTCGCAGAACATGTTTGTTTGGTTAAATATTGATTACCTACTACTGTCTTCTAGACTTGGTTGGGATGATTCTTTCACAAGGTCATGTATGTACTTGAGTGTATGACTGAGAAGTCTCAAAGAAGGAAGAAACAGCTGTCTGTAAACGTCACTCCTTGTTCTTCAATGATTCTACATAAGGATATTTATTTAATGATGAAATGTACTCTCACTGGAAAATAAATTTCATTGATTTTCAATCAATGAGTATTGATCAGTTGATTAGTGAAATGCATAAGTACATTTTCCTCAAAATAAAATATGTACAAATAAAGTGTAGTGAGATATTTAGTTAACATTATGATGTACAACTGTCTGACGTCATCTTCATCGACTGTATTTCGATGGATTCCATAATGGATAAGATTTTATTTTGATAAATCACACAGTGTAGTACAGTTATATTAACTGATGACGTTTCGAGCACAAACTATTGCTCATAATCATATCAAGTTGATATGATTATGAGCAATAGTTTGTGCTCGAAACGTCATCAGTTAATATAACTGTACTACACTGTGTGATTTATCAAAATAAAATCTTATCCATTATGGAATTATACTCTACCACAGTGCCCAAGTTTTATACTTATATGTATTTCGATGGTATGCTTCGTATACCGATTGAACTTCGGGCTAGTTCAGCCTAAAAAAAACAAAAATAGAAAAATAAAATAAAATGAAATAATAATGATAATAAAAAATACGCTCTTTCCTCGAGGATTCGGAAGATATGCAGCGAGGAAGTGATTGAAGAAGAACTGCGTAATCTCCGAAGAACCCTGATGAATAAAACGGTTTTCCACCCAGGTTCATAGACAAGAATCTCAAATCTAAGAAGACTTCCGAACAAGTCCAATCCGTCCCGAAGAAGATACTTCTGCTTAATCTAGAATTCAAAGGTGATATTGAAGCAGAAATCCTTCGTAAACGCCTCTGCAAATCTCTGAGGAAAACATACTTCGCCACGAGCCTACGACTGACGTTTTCCTGCAAGAAACTGTTCAGCCAGAACGCGAAAGACAAGCTGTCGCATTGGGCCACTTCAACGTGCATATACCAGTTTACTTGCTCTTGTGGAGCTGAGTACATCGGCCGTACCATGCGCCAACTTGAAAAACGCGCTCGTGAACACTATCCAGCCTGGCTAGTAAAAGGAGAACGAAAACGTGTATATAGTTCAGTGACAGAACATCTGGTCAATTCAGGACATTCAGCGCCTTTCGAAAAATCCTTCAAAATAATATACAAGATTCGATCAAACCTATCAAAGGGAGTGAAATTAAGACATCTGGGCATAGCCGAGGCACTAGCTATCCAAAAGCTCAAACCCACGCTATGTATCCAAAAGAAATACGTCCAACCTTTGTCCCTGCCATGGCCATCATAAACAGGTAATTCTTTTAGTAATGACCATCCCATTGCCTTTCTTATCTAAACTTCCTGTTTATTCATGTTATTTTTAAGTTTTCTTAATCCCTATTTACACTACCATATTTTCATATCCGAACTTCCTGTCTATTTTGTCATTTTATTATTTCTACATATTTAATCCCTGATTGCATAAACAATTATTCGTCACATTAGTTATGATCCCACTAGATTTTTTATCCAAACATCCTGTCTATTTTTGTTATTTCTACATTTCTAACCCCCAATTGCACAATATGTCAATCTTCTCAGTAATTATGATGCTACTTTGTTTGAGTTTTATCCGCCCCTCCCCTGTTTATTATGGCATTTTAATTCCTAATTGTAATTTTATTAATTTGACCCTTAACCGGAAATTATTCTGGAACTTTCCCAACCATTTATTATAAATACACAGAATGTACAGCCTAGTTGATGCTGACTTCGTCGAAAAGAAAATTTTCTTCGCTGCAACTGTCTTCTTAATAATTCCTATGATCCAATGTGTATATTCCGTGATCTGAAATAAAGTCGAAAATACATTCTAAAAATAACCCCATAAAATCTAATTCTTTCTTTCTATTTGTGGCTTTGGTGGAGGTGTTGGGAGACGGGGTTAAAATAAGTCCAAACAATGACGCTATGAGACATTTGAGGTTTTCTACAAGATGTCAAGGGAGTGCCTTAGTGCCAGTGTCACGCAGTTTACTGACAACCTACTCAAATTAAGACAACTTCTTGCATAGAATTCTATAGTCATCCATCTATGTATTATCAGTTCACCTTATCACTTCTCGAGAATTCGGGAGGTTTGGAATGATTTGACTGTCTGAGATCAGGCATTTCAGGTACACCGGTTATGAGCTTAGCCCCGAATGGGTGAAATGGTCGTTAGGTGTTTGTTTTTTATTCCTTCACGTTCCCAGTGGAACATAGGGCTTCAAGCTAGAGGCTAGCCTCATGTTCAACCTTTCCTCTTTACCAACTTTATTTCTGGCTTAGCGAGGTAAAGGAGGAGTTCGTCGGTGGTCGGGGATCGAACTCCGGACTATGTACATGGTCGGTGAGCGTCCTAACCGCTATGCCACCGACGCACCTAGCTAGCAATCTCTACTGTTCAGCGTAAGTGACTTCCAACTACTTATATGATTCAACAGTATATGCCATCCTGTTGAACCCCATGTCATTCAGTCCGTGCATAGTTACCAGTGTTTGTACCTTTTCCCAAGGTCTAACAGAAATCGATCAATTAAAAGAGAGACCAATTTTGCAACGCATTATAATTCCGCACTGGAGATTAACGGCTAGAAAGAATTAGTAACAAGAAACTCCGAGAAAGAACCTTTCAACAACCTACCGCCAAGAAAATATGCCGAAGAAAATGGAGGTGGATAGGTATCACTCTGATGAAACTGTTGAGTGACACTTCACATCAGGCAGTCGATAGATACGAATCGGGCATATGTCCAAAAGTGACATGGAGGAGATGAGAGCCAGCTAAAAACCCGTTCAGAGAACAGTGTGAAATGGAAATGTGTTGTTGAAGTCCACTTGGAACCCAGGGGATGTCTCACCAAAGACATTGGTTGGGGTCACGCTAATTCACGAATTGGTAGAAGTTAGAATTCATGGGCTGGCCATTGAAGAGTCGGGTCCCAATGGCTGAATGGTATACGAACTTGCCTTGTAACCGAAAGGTCCTGGGTTCAAATCCCAGCTGGTGAGTACTGTCGATGATTCCCAAACAAACTAGGATGAAACAGCTGTTCAGTACTCCCTGGTTCTCAATGGTTCTCCAACTGATATCAATCCGTGATCAACTCGTAAAAACAAAATTAATCCTTACAAACCAACTATAGAAAATAATAATAAAGATGTTAATTGACGACGATGCGAAAGTAAAAAGCAAGCGTGACATGACACGACACTGTGCCAGTAATCCCTAGATAATCAGTTGGATGAGATGACGTAAGCCTGTAGTCAAAAATAACGGGAACTTCTCTGAAAACTATAGCAGATGTGTCTTAGGCTTTCCTATGTGACACTGGCTGTAAGATCTTTAGTCAAAATTTGTAAGGCGATTTAGAAACTGACCAAATGTGGAAAAATATTAGGCTGATTAGTAAGTTATTTCAAGTACTTGGTGTTGCTGTCGTCTTCTCTGAGCTAGATGGTTTAATTAAGAAGTTTTCATTGTCTTTATGGACAACAAATTCAGTGTTAACCTCAAGGTGAAGTTAGCTTCCGGAATTCCATATTGATGAAATATCAGTTTTTCTCCTGATGGCCTTGACTGTGATTGGTGATCTATGGAGATTTTCTTAGGATTGTTTTCATCTACATTGACACTGACTGTTTGACCTTTCGATCATGTTGTAACGACGGAAGACAATCGCCAGGCAACAGATTGCCTATTGAGAAAATCAACAGATATTTATAGATTTTTGTCTACATTATTATTCGTTATTACTAGCAGAGAAACAGCGTCTTCTGATTGGTTATTTTCTCACTGAAAGTTAGTCTGTTATCTCTTTGTGGTCATTTCTTTGAAGGTCAGTCCATATATATCTGCGAATCGTATCCGCCCACGCAAAGTCTGCTGTGATTGGTTGTTGAGTTAGTCTTTGTTTTTGTTTTTTTCTCATGATCAGGATTTGGGACGTAAAATTGACGTAAATTTCTGTCTACCGATTTTGGCTATCAGACAGCTCTCACCACAATGTGATCTCTGCTTTTTTGATCGAAAGATTTCTATCTATATTAGTATGTTCATTAATGATAAATTGATCTTGTTACCAGACTTTTCCTCTATTTAAGATTTTCTCAGTCTCCCAATCGAATTTATGTCCATAGTTGCCCACGGAAATTGATATGAATGCATTAATGTGACGCCTTTTAACTGCAAATTTATAATCATGAACACTAAGATGCTAAAGAGATCCTTATGCATACCCAAGTCATAGAAGTTACAAATTTTCTGGAACAATTTAAGGGCCCAGTCAGACTGAGTCTTTATAAAAATTATTTGAAATAATCCCATGCAGTGAAATCGGTGAGCTTTTTTTTGCGAAATTACTTATCTTCTCGGGATCAACCATTCTAATGTTAGCTAATTTCTTATGTTCCGACAGTCTGACTGACCCAATGCAAATACCAGAGATATAGAAGATATTATTACCACCAGTCAGTCAAATCACAGGAGGATAATAAATAATCTTAAAATCCTATTTCAATTCAAGTGCATCATAACATTCTAACAAGTTACTTATTTATTTTGACTATAAAAACACTCGTCTTATTTCCCATCTGATTGTATTTGATTGATAACACTCATATTATTATTTCTGAATGTACTTTATATTATTCCGTCCTCCTTTATGGCTGTGAGACCTGGCCATTGAGATTGGAAGACATGAAAAGATTAGTTGTCTTTGATCATAGGTGTCTGCGTTCTATCCCCCTCGTGAAGTGGTATAATAAAGTGAGCAATATTGAGGTTAGGCGTCGAGTGCTAGCTTCGTGGGAGGGAAAGTCAATCGACGAAGCTGTGAAATTACATCGACTGAGATGGTTAGGACATGTGTTAAGTATGCCTAGTCATCGCCTTCCTCGACGGGCAATGTTAGCTGATATAGGATCAGGCTGGAAAAGAGCTAGCGGCGGTCAAACGAAAACATGGCACCAGTCTACAACAGTTAGTCTAAGCCACGTAAGAAGGTGTAGACTTCCTGGTTGGAATCCTCGGGAAGGTAAAACCAATGAGGGTTGGAAACAATTGGTGATATGGCTCAAAATCGTTCTCAGTGGCGCGGATGCATCCACTCCCTGTGACTTATGATTTCCAATGAAACTGTTTTGTTCTTCGTTATTACTATTCCTTTTGTCTCACACCTCTGTTTACTGTCATTATTATGCATTTCTCCTACTTTCTTCTCTTGCTTTGTGTGCTACATGGAATGTGGCGACTTGAACTGCCGCACATATGTGCAAAGTTCTGTGTCGAAAACAGACAGACAGACTTTATATTATATTGATTTTTATTCAAATGTCTAATCATCAATTTTCACTCATGTATATAAATGAAGCAAGAAAGTTGTGTGAGTGAGTGAGTGAGTTTGATATGATTATGAGCAGTAATAATTTGTGCTCGAAACGTGTGGTCATCAGTTAATATTACTGTATAACACTCCACTGTGTGATTTTATCAAAAACAGACAACAATCAGCATAAATGGAAGGAACCTGAAAGAAACAACCTCTTTTACCTACCTGGGAAGCATCGTTTCAACTACAGGCGAACGGAACTGACGAGAATATCAAAGCAAGAATCAGAAAAGCAAGACAAGCTTTCACTACTCTCAAGTCTGTGTGGAGGTCAACAGCACTCAGCATCAAAAATAAGATCCGGATTTTCAACTCCAATGTGAAGTCAGTCAGTGCTACTATACGGATCAGAGACTTGCACTTCGCGTCATAAAGAGCATCTCAAACAAACTACAGACCTTCATCAACAGTTGTCTTCGCTCAATACTCAAGATCAGATGACTGGCCAGAAAAGATCAGCAACAGAGATCTCTGACAATGAGCGGAACCGATTGTGAAACAAATAGGCAGGAAGAAATGGAGATGGATTGGCTGGCCATACTCTGAGGAAACCATCAAGTGACATCACTAGACAAGCCATTGCTCGAGTGGAACCCGAAAGGGAAGCGGCGAGTTGGTCGTCAGTGCAAAGGTGACTTGGAGGAGGTCATGTGAAGAGGAGATGAAAGCATGTGGGCAGACTTGGAGCCAGATGAAAACTTTAGCAGAGAACCGAACGCAATGGAGACGTGCTTGGCTGAAGCCCTATGTTCCTCTAGGAATTAAAGGAAACAATACTAGTAATAATAAAATATAAATATAGAACCTGATGAGGAATTTACCGAAAAGAATATTCCTTGTGACCATTGATCAGTCTTTGACATTCAACTTTTTTTTAAACAAACAAACAAACCAACAACAAAAAAAGACAATAATAACAACAACTGCAAGTAAAACAATAACAAAAGTCACTTACCTGATACTGTTTATACGCCAATCGTTCTCTAGCTGAATAATCCAAGGCCATCTGTTCAGTATAACTGACAACTTTCTGTCTAGCCATACACATGAAATACATCATAAACAACAGGGGGATAGGTAATAATCCAAGAAGTACAGGACCAAGAATTCGACCACGATGAATTGTATAAAACTCTATACCGATTATATAATGCAAAACAGTTAGCAGTGTACCAATAAGCAGTAAGATAATACTGATAACAGCTAGCAGAGTGGCAAGAATGCAGTCACATCTACCAGGACCATTGATCAGTGGGTCAGGTGACCAAGTACAACAATCGACTTGTACACTGTCATCATAATTATGATAACATGGTGTTAAATTTCTTGTAGTGACTATTGGATACAATTGACGCGGGGGGAATAGTAGATTTTTGTCTTCTTTCAATGGACTGTTCACGTCTTTCGATATCTGTTCAATTCTGCTTGCAATGAATGCACTATTCTTTGGTGGTATATGCTGAAGAGTCTGTCAGTCAAGCAAAAAGAAAAATAAAGAATATGGAACATTTTTAAGGTGGGCAGCGTTTTATGTGATCTACGAAGATGTATATATATATATATGTATATAACAAGTATAACAAACTGATTGGTAATCATCTTGCCTCCGGCCGTTTCGCCACTTTCTGAAGCTTACATTCGTCTGACAGTCATGTTGTAAGGACAGAAGACAAGGGTCAGGAAACAGATCGCTTATAGAGTAAAACAAAAGTTATTTATAGATTTTTATGTACATTATTATTCGTTGTTTTGGCAGAGAAACGGCGCCTTCTGATTGGTTGTTTTCCTGCTGAAGGTTACTCCATACTGCTTGTGACCATTTCTTAGAAAGTTAAGGCATATATCTGCGAATCGTATCTGCCCACGTTAAGTCTACTGTGATTGGTTGTTGAGTCCCTCAAGGTTAGGCTTTGTTCTTGTTTTTTCTTATGACCCCCACTCCGGACGTAAACACTGACGTCAATTGTTGCCTACAATTTCGTCTTGTAGACAGCTCTCACCACAATACCACTATCAATCTTGGCATCATTTCCAGTGCTAATTTTACCAGGAGGTGAAATTAACGCACTTAATAAGGATTATTTTATAGTGAAGTAAAACGGCACTAGAGATAACTGTGGCTTTAAACTATAGCAGCCTAAACCGAAACTAATTAGCGAACTGATATATGACCATGACAATGACAACTCTGACCAATCAGACGCCTCTATGCTAAAGGCGCATAATTTGAATAAAACGTTTATATAAAAGTAATGCAATGTTAAAAAATAGTTACAAAGGATAACGCTCTTGTATATGTTCCAAAAAAAATCCCCCAGTTTTTCATAGGAGTCTTCATAGTTATGATAAACCAAGCCCTGTACATAAACTCATAGAGGTAGCTGTATATCATTTCATTTCCTGGTCTATTCACAGATCTGATCCGTTTTTTAAGGTGACTCTAAAAATTTTCGATGAAATTAGTATTAGTTCCATTGAAAGGATTGATGAAATCATTTGTATATTTGAGGACGTGATGACTATAGCCCGGGGTTGAAAGCTGACTATAACTACTACATTCATCTGTATGAATAGTTGTTCCATGCAGCACTAAGCGTTGGAGAATAGGCAATAATACATTTGCACTGCGATTAAGGATCGCGTCAATGTATCCTTTGTGTTGAGGGTGGTGTCATATATCCCCAACGCCCACTGCTGGTTCGCACTCAATCTCCCTCGATTATATTTTGTTTTTATCAGAACTGTCTCATCCACATGAACAATGAAGCCAACGCCACCAGGTATCTGAGTCAGTCTGTTCATTTCCCATGATATTATGTCTCTGCGGTACTGGTACTATTGCAATGCAGACACTTCTGAGTTTTCTGATTCATACGCTGTTGCTGTTACTGGTCAATTTAAGCACCCAGTTATGACACATCATCAAAATTTTCGTTAGAGGTAACTTAGACTTGGCGAAAAAAGTACCTACGGAATCTGTAAACTAAAAAAGAACCGCATACCTTCTCGAACTGACTTTCTGGTTCGGCACTCATCGCACCTGTAAACAAATCCATCAATGCACCTAGTATATCTTTGTAAATACATGACACCTCCACACATTCACACTTTTTCGACCTTCCTATCTGTCTGTTCTCCAAACAGTAATCAAAAACAAGATCTGGAGCGAATTTGCACCGCAAAAGGTGTACATCATTTATAAGTACGTCTGGGAAATACGGAGTCACCTGATTGGTTTCTCAAGGTCATTTATTCGTTCGCTAGGTAGTTTTGGTTTGGGCTGCTATAGCTTAGGGTCGCCGAGATAAAATATTTTTTAATGATGTTCACAAAGAAAGCTTAGTCAACAAAACCGACAACTGTCTAAATTCGAAGATTTATCAGAATACATTATCACAAGACAAGGCTGTTTGACTATTATCACCGATGATATTCTTAATTGTGGTGGAGTGGATTATACGGAAGACTGTGAACAGGGAGTGAGGAGACAGGAATTTGTTGAACCACTAATAATAAGTCTCTAGAAGATCTGGATTTCGCGAGTGGATGATTTATGTTTAATGTCACACAAACTCGAAGACTTACAGGCAGGCAGGAGAAAACTGAAGAGGCAGCTAGTGAAGACAGGACTCTAGGTGAACATAGAGCAGATGGAGGTGATGAAGATAACCAGCCAAAAGCAATAGCAACAATAACCAACACTAACCACTATCCAGGGGGAGAGATTTGACATAGGCTACTTCCTTCACTTATCTAGGAAGCATTGTTTCAGCCACTGGTGGAACGGACGAAGATATCAAGGCTGGCCAGAATCGGAAAGGCAAGATACACCTTTATCAACCTGAAATCAGTCTGGAAATCTTCTGCACTCAGAATAAACAACAAGATTCGAGATTTCAGCACAAGTAGCAAATCAGTCAATCAGTTCCTCCATACAGATCAGAATATTGGCGTGTCATGAAAAGGATTTCCAACAAGTTATAGACTTTTACAAACAGCCGTCTTCACTCTATGTTGTAGATCAAATGGCCAGGAAGAATTAGTAACAAGAAATAATGGGAACAACCTAACCAAGAGCCTGTCGTTCAACAAATCTGTAGGAGAAAATGGAGATGGATTTGGCATATGCTGAGGAGGCCATTGAATGAAATCGCGCGTGAGGCCTTCACTCGAGTAGAACACTAATCGGAGACGACGAGTTGGGCGTCACTTCGATGTTGACATGGAGGAGATCATGTGAGGAGGAGATGAGGGATTATGGACAATCGTGGACCTAGCTGAAGAGGACTTCAGGGAACACGACGAAGTTGAGGTGTGCTGTTGAAACATTATGTTCCACTCGGAACCCAAGGGAAAAATAATAATAATATAATACGTTGTCACTTTTCACAAGACACACAAAGATAATAAGTGAGATTATAACATTAAAAGGAACAAAAAACATCCTATTCAGTGTAACTACAGAAAAGATAAAGTTTGATCACGGATCGATGTCAGTGGAGTTAATCAGTTCGGTATATACCAACTTAACCGCTTCTGTGAAGCCAATTACATAGGCCGTACAATTAGGCGTGTTTCTCGTCGAATTTCCGAACATCACCCTGCATAGTGGTTGGTTAAGTAAAGGACAAACAAAATCTATTCACATAGCGCTATTCTATCTCATCTTGTGGATACAGAACACAAGATTGATGATGTCAACGAGGCAGCTTTCAAAGTCATTTACCGCGCATACCAACAAATCTCAATTTCGCCTTAAGAGTTCGACTACTAAACATTGTTGAGGCTGGCTGTTGGGATCCATATTAAGAAGCCTAATTTATGTGTCCAAAAGAAGAAGTTAGTTCAGACATTGTCCTTACCCCACTGGCCATCTAGGTTTGAATGATCCTCAATTTTTGTGGAATTTTCCTAATTTTATTTGATATTCTATTTGCTATTATATCTTTATTATCATTATAATTTAGGCATCTTTAATGAACTGTAATTCCATTGATCTTACTTTACAAATCGATATTATTTAAAAAGCACTAATATTGTTATTGACTACTATTCTAGAATATTCTATGTATATAAACATATGCATATATAATTGTAGAGCGAGAAGAGGAAATTATCGAAAGGGGGATATTCTTTGCTCAATTATTTTGTTATTTATAAGACAGTTGAGACTCACCACAATACCAATTAACTATACTGATGATATTACAATATGCAGAATGAAGTCTTATGTTTTTAATGTTAATATACTTTGATAAGAATGACACATCTAAGCCTAAATGAATCTATACAGTTATACTGTGGTTTCTCTTCAAAACCAAATTATTTATATACAAAAGTAAAAGAAAAATATATGTGACATATTCCTGTACATCAGGAAGACAAGTGGTCAATTAAAATATCCCAATATACGTATATGAAAAACGATATTCACTAATAAGTCACTTTCAACAAGTTAATTTGGAAACTTAACCATAGAAACCAGTTATTGGGTCGATTTCTTCACGAACTGACGTCATATCTAGGGTGTGCTAGGAGGGTATTTCATCCTACTCAAAAAATGACTCGTTTTCTAACTGACATCAATTTTCATAAGGAAATCCATCTCTTCATAAAACCAAAATGTGAGTAAAACTCGATTATTTCTAACATGTCCATGGGTGAATGGTATACGAGCTTGCCTTGTAACCGGAAGGTCCTGGGTTCAAAACCCAATGGGTGTGTACTGACGATGAGTCCCAAACTAGGCCGACGAAACAGCTGTCCAGTACTCCCTGGTTTTTCACTTAGCGTCGGTGGCACAGTGGTAGAATGCTCGCCGACCACGCCTCACGTAGTTCGGGGTTCGATCCCCGGCCAGCAGACGCACTCCTTTACCTCGCTAAGCCAGTAATAAGACTGGTAAAGAGGGAAAGCTGGGCATGAGGTTAGCAGCCCTCATCCCGTAAAAATAAACACCACTGCTACCGAAACTTCAAAGCTCTAGCTTAAAGCCTTACGTTCCACTGGGAATGTAAAGGGATAAAATAAATTAATAATTAAGTGACTGCACCTTAAGATTTTGTCAAGTGATCCACAACGGAAAACTCAGCGAAGCGTTTGGAGTAAACACAGGAGTCAGACAAGGGTGCTTATAATCACCAATTATATTCCTAATTGTGGTGGACTGGATTATGCGTCAGACAGTGGGAAACGAGAAGACAGGAATATCCTGGGCCGACATCAAGAACCTAGAAGACCTGGATTTCGCGGATGACTTATGTTTGATGTCACTTACAAGCGAAAACCGACAAACTGGTCGAAGAAGCAGCCAGAGAAGACAGGACTCCAGGTGAACATGGACAAGACGGAGGTTATGAAAATAACCAACCAATAACAACAACAACAGCAGCTGCAACATCCACCGCCAATCACCATCAACGGGAGGGATTTGATGAAAGGGGTTACTTCATTCACTTATCTAGGGAGCATTGTCTCAACTACAGGAGGAACGGACGACGATGTCAAATCGAGAATCGGGAAGGCGAGAAACACATTCATCAACCTGAAACCAATCTGGAAATCTTCGTCACTCAGCCTGCATCAACAACAAAGTGATTCGGATTTTCAATACAAACGTCAAGTCAGTCAGTTCTTCTATACGGATCAGAAACTTGGCCAGTGTGTCACAAAGAATATTTCCAACAGTCCGTTGCAGACCTTTATCAACAACTGTCTTCGTTCTATACTGAAGATCAGATGGCCGGAAAGAATCACCAACAAGAAACTATGGGAACAAACAGAACAAGGTCCAATCGCTCAACAAATATGCAGGAGAAAGTGGAGATGGATTGGACACCCGCTGAGGAGGCCGTTGGGTAACATCGCGCATCAGGCCCTCGAGTGGAACCCGAAAGGGGGGTGGCGAGTGGAACGTCCAAGGGTGACATGGAGGAGATCATGTGAAGAAGAGTTGAAACAGTATGAACTAACATGGATACAAGTGAAAAGTACAGCAGAAGACAGAAGGGCCAAGTTAAACTTTAAGCACCACTAACTACCAATGGAGTGCGGCCGCGCCAATGACTTTGGAACGCTCACTGAGTATGTTAATGAAACCTGGGAAATGATGTTGTCATCATCAATAAAATATCCTCATCGAAGTGTTATGCTATTAAATGGGATTTCTAGCAAGTTTCACCTTAGGTTTAGGAAAGATTAAGTTAAGGTTTAGGCCAAGGACAAGTTAGGATTAGGGGACATTAGGTTAGTTCAAGTTAGATTACAGTTAGTTTAGGGATATTTTCACGTTAGGGTTACTTTCAGGAAAGATTAGGGTTATTGTTCTGGTTAGAAGACCTAAATAATTACATGCATAGTATGTGGTTAAATTTCTCTGTTAATGTAAGAAGTGAACTTGGGCACCGTGGTAGAGTATAATTCCATTGTGAGTAAAATTTATTTTGATAACTTCTCACGGCGTGTTATACAATAAGTAATATTTACTGATAATGTTTCGAGCACAATTTATTGCTCAGTAAATATTACTGTATAACTAAGACTGTGAAACTTTATCAAAATAAATTTAACCCACAATGGAATTATACTCCCTTGATACTCCAACCTAAAACTGAGAGTTACTTTTATCACATGTGAGTAAAAAGGTATCGTCTGTAAAACTTTTACATTAAAAAAAAATAAATATATGTATTCCATACACAAAAATGCCTCCTCTACGTGATTGGTGCGCTCAAGGTCATTTGCTGATTAGTAGTTAGTAGTGGTGCTTAAAGTTTAACTTTGCCGACAGAAGCAAGTGGAGACGTGCAGTTGAAGCCCTATGTTCCACTAGGAACCCAAGGGAACAATAATAATAAAATAATAATAATAATATACACCTTAAGATTTTAGTTTCTATGGCAGATTTGAAAGATTCTAGTGTAAATGTCATTTAGTTCTTCAGACAGGTTATATGTTACATTTAGTATAACCACTACTTTCGTCTTGGGTTTAGTGGTAGAGTGCTCACGAGCCACACACATGGTCTGGATTCGACTCCTAGTCGATGTGCTGCTTAACCCCCTTTAGCCGGCAGTTGACCTGATAAAGGGAGAAGGTTAGGCGTAAGGTTAGTTACCCGTATGACATCACCGCTACTACAACTCCCTACGTTCGACTAGGAGTTCAAAGGAATCAAAAAAAGTTACTAAGATTAGATGAAGGTAAAAATGTCATTCTTTTGACATCACCATACGAAGAAGAGAAGTTAATAAAGACTCTTCAATCTCTAATCTTCAAATAAATCACTATGTTCTGTCCATTCACATGGTATGATATATGCCACCGATATGTGTACAAGTTAAAATAAACAGTAATGAAAGCCATCTTGGTTATCAGTTATCAAATAAAATACATTTTCACTAACTACACACTAATATCAGGATATTTCAATGAAAACTACATTACATAAAACAAAGTAAATAGATTGTTTACGCTTACTGTATTCATGTGTGAGTTAGTAAATAAGATATTGGTGAAGTGTTGACAGAAATCACTATTGGATACCATAAAAAACAAACACTTCCTATGCTGACCAATCATTGTCCAGTTTTACTGTGATTACTATTGGTTTAAAATCAACCAATCACAAGTGTTACAGTGGCCCTACTATTGAAAACTAGACAAATCTTAAGTAAATGTATTTTTCGACAAATAAAATTAGTGCAGTTTACTATCAGTACATAAATTTATCTTATCGATTTTCAGTCAAGACAATTTCCTCATACAATGTGCGGAGTGAATAAATTAAACAAGTGTATATACTTTTATTTGAGTTTCGATTTTCCTGCTGATTGATCAGACCGAAATGTTCGTTCCCATTAAGAACATAGAGTTAATCCTCAGACACCGTTGAAGCGTCCACACTAGGAGTCCACATATCATCAGAGGCCGAACAATTTGGTCCAGTCAAACCACGGGAAAATCAAAGATGAATAAAATATAATAATTGACAACCAGTGTACAAAAGGTGACTGTCACGGCACAAGTTGTCTAGTGGATGACGCTCTGAAGTTTGAAAGGATGGGTGCTGGGTTCCAGCATCAGTGGGGGAGTGTAGTTTCATTCGGCTGATAACGCCTAAATAAGACGAAGAGTTCATTTTGGATTTCACCAAATTACTTGAAGTTTGAATGTCGGTTTAAATAGGATTTTAGTACAGACTTGATGGTCGAGGTTGAAAATCAGCAGATATCAGCTGGAGAATATCTAATAAAATACTTGTTGGCGATTGACCTATAAAACAATGAAGAATCAGACCGAAGACAATAGAATTCTGAGATGAGAGCTCATCGGACCATGAAATAGTGGGGAAGACGCTTTCGGTGATATTGTGTTTGATGAGATCTGTGTTTTGACTAAGAAGCTTTCATTGTCCCCTTGAATGACACCTTCAGAGTAATGCACATATAATCTTACAAGTCCAACAAACATTTGACACCAACATAATTTCCACATCAATTTCCCACATATTCGCTTCCATTGTAATCCACACAACCACCACCAATTCCTCCAAACACCATCACACTAGGCAGTGTTTCCACACTGCCTGCGTACCAATCAATCCAGGACTATCAGTCTGAGTCGGACTGTGAGTAGAGGTGTCATTTTATGTTTCGTTGTGTGTGTGTGCGTGTGTTTGTGTCTGTCTGTCGCTCTCTGTCTGTGTGTGTGTGCATGGTGTGCATCAGTGACTGTTGAATTGATCGGACCAGTGACATGAGAAGCAGTCGTGTTGTCAGTGTGTGGGTGTTGGCTTGTGTGAGGGTTCTGGAGACTGAGAGTGTGTTGGTCGGTGGGTCGGTCGGTCGGTCAGTCGTTGTTTGTGTCGTTGGGTTGGGTTGGTGAGTGGTTGTATGAATGTTGTATGAGTGTGTCTGTGCTGGTGTTGAATATGCTGGCTGGAGGATAGATCTGATGTGTTGCATTGTTTAGTGTTGTGTTGTGTTTTGTTGATTGTGTTGAATTGTTGTTGTTGTGCGAGTGGATTGGATGAGGTGGTGTGGACGGGCGGCTCCGTAGCTCAGTCGGTTAGAGCGTCGTGCTAATAACGCGAATGTCGAGGGTTCGATCCCCTCCGGAGCCAGCGATTTTCGCTACAACACTAACAAACATAACACACACAAACTCAACTCACACAATCGAATCTCACTAACTCACATCCCACCTACTACAATAGACACTATTTTGTAGACCACACACAACACAACACAACAACAAATCAACCAAATCCCAAATCCCCCACCAATCCACACATCAAACCATTAGCATGAACACACACACGCACGAACGTGCTCACACAGGCACTAAATCTCCAACACAAATTCACTCGAATACATGCACAGAATCTCAAATCCTCTCACGGACACATCCACACACTCACACACAGCAACTCTTGCACAGTGTGATGTGCTAATCCAAATCTCCTACCCGCTTAAATCACCTTAACCATAGGCATTGGATTCCACTCACTGACTTTAAGGTGTAATCCTTCAGTACACTGTTCACATGCTAAACTGCCGGATTATTTGTGAATAAATTTTATACTACTTACAAGTAGCCAAAAACCCCCAGTGAAATTGTGGAAACCTATGCAGATACGATGTAGTATAAAAGTTGAACAAAAGAATTACACTCATAGAGTACTAGCTTTAAGATGGAAGCTTATTCTAAACAACATTTTCACCTTATTATAAGTTATGAAAATCTTTTCTTAAGAGGAATATGGACCGACCTGCAAAAAAACTCTTGAGAATTCATCTGATGCTCGCTAGTGGCCGGCTACACGACGGAGTTTCCTGGAGTTCTAGTGACAAGTCATGACCAGTGAGATGAATTCAGCCGGAAGTGAGGATGGAATTCCCACCGATGATACTGGTTGGTGGTCGCATTAAATTCACGAATCGGTAGAAGTTAGAATTAATGGGCTGGCAACTGAATTGGGTCCCAGTGGCTGAGTGGTTTACGAGCTTGTCTTACGACCGGGAAGGTCCCGGGTTCGAAACCCCACTGGTGCGTATTGCTGAAGAGTGCCAAGCTAGGATGAGACAGGTGTCTAGTACTCCCCAGTTTTCAATGGTTCTCTAACTGATATCAATCTGTGGTCAAACCTAAAATGTAGGACTGATGAAATACTCATGTAACAGAGAAAAAAACCAGCTGAAGGAAGTACATAGAACATCAGTAACAATAAGAATAGCATGAACAGAAGACAAAAACACAAGACAAGAGGAACACACCGAGAAACAGGAATTCAAAGTGTCTGTATCCTTATCATACAGAGAGGGAATCTCTGAAATAATAAACAGAATTCCTAACGAAGCAGAAATAAAAGTGGAATTCAAACCCACAAACTCGATCAGAGACACATTATGTTGGTTAAAAGAAACCATGGGTCACATTAGACAAAATAATCTAGCTTCCCTACACTTCGTAGAACTACGATGATTGTCAGTAGGGCGAGTGGTATCCCATTGGGCCATATCGTTGACATCGTCATTGATAGACACTTAATGTCATGTAACAAATTTGCAAAAGGAATTTTGTCAAACTGTGAGCACCCACATGACTACCCGCAGCTCCAACCTTGTATCCCGTCAGGTAAAACAAGAGGTCTTTTCAGAAGACTTTTTGCACGTACGTCTAAATATATAAAATTTAGCACGTACTTTATGTGATGAAAATAGTGTTCGGCATGAACTAACTAACTAACCTTCTTTGCACTGCTAAATGAACCATTCCCTCCATCCTTACAACATCAAACTTTATTGTTATTGTATTTCTTATACTTATAATCCTCTCAATTTTTTGTTTATTTTCTCAAAAGTGTGAACATCATTTAAGCTGTGTTATAACTGTTAATTTTGTATTTCCCCTCACCATACTATATCAACAGAACATTAGATTCAATAATCTATAACATGCTAAAATTTTCAAACTGAATCGACAATACTGTTTGAAACAAACTCACTGCTTTTATTATTATCATTATTATTATTGTATTTAATATTCTCAATTCCTACTTCGAATATTTTTGACTGTATATCGTAAATGTGGACAAATTTCTCTGGTTAATTTTGTTTTAATTTAATTTATCTTTTGAGTAAATCAGATGCAATATTGTGACAGATGCTGAGAATTCCATTCTGTATTATAAGTACTGTCTGTTTTGGAATAAAGTAGATCGTTATTATTATTATTATAACTTCTTCAGTTGACACGATTACCAACCATATCACTGAATTCCACTACGACCCTGATGCTAACGTGATCTTTGCTGTTTGGTTCATGCTCTATGAAGATCAATTCAGAGTAGATTTTTCCGATCAAGATGATCTCTATAGAAACAAACTGTAAAAAATCTAGGCGGTTGAACGTTTCGAACTAGAGGCCTGTGAATTACGAGTCCAGCGTTCTACTAGATGAATAGCGAGAAAATCATTCAGAATTCTCCAGTAAACAAAAGTCTACAAGGTATTACGTTCAATTCCGTGTTAAATAAAGGATGCCTAAACTTCTGAATATGTTTCATAAATAATTATTTAGTGAAAATCAATAAATAATAACAAAAATCAATAAAATTCATCAGCCTTTTATGCATAGAAAAACACAACTATTAATAACCAAGAAGCACTTTGTCCTAGTTTAGGTTTCTTCAACGGTGTGTACGCATAACCTCTGCAGGGATCGAATCTAGGACTTTACTGTTAAGAGGCAAACCCTTCACAGCTATTCAGCATTTGGGTCAGAATTCAATGACTACTTCTGTCAACCATCGCAATCAATAAACATCCACATCAACCTGACGTCGTGAACGACATTGGCCACAACTTCTCATCGGAACTTCAGAATAAAGATCTACTTTGAGTTTTTTTTAGCAGTTTCATTACACTGAAGCTTGAACAGAATTTGGATTAAGTAAGTTGTATGGAAAATTATTTAACTTGGACTTTTTCTATAGTTTGGTTTGTAAGGGTTAGTTGCGTTTTTACGAGTTGATCACGGACGGATATCATTTATTTATTTTATTTTTATTTTGATTTACAGCTTGATTCCACACAGTATTTTCAGTACAAGTACGGAATTTTCAGCATGGATATCGGTAGCCCAAATTCAGGCCGACCATAGGTATCGGGTGTGCGCCGGCAGGGGATCGAACCCCGGACCATGTGCATGGTCGGCGAGAGTCCTAACCACTGTGCCACCGGCGCACAGTTAGAGAACCATTGAAAACCAGGGAGTACTGGACAGCCAGCTGTTTCATCCTAGTTTGGGACTCCTCATCAGAACGCACCCACTGGGATTCGAACCCAGGACCTTCCGGTTACAAGCGAGCTAGCTCGTATACCATTCAGCCACTGGGATCCGATTCAATGGCTCATGAATGGATGTCCTACCAACGACAATGGTTGGGGGCGCGAAATCACGAATTGATAGAAGTTAGAATTCATGAGCCATTGAATCGGGTCCCAGTGGCTGAATGGTATACGAGCTTGCTAGCCTTGTAACCG